AACTGTCATTAATATGTTAACATTAAAAGCTGCTTACAAATAATGCTATTAATAGGAAATAACATTGATTTTCGAAAAAAAAAATAAAAATAAATAAATAAAACCAAATGAGATTAATAACTTCGGTACCGGTACTACAGCACCACATCAAGTGAAAGTTTTTTTTTTTTAGCAAACCATAGTGAGTTTTCAAAGCTTTACGTTGTTTACGTTACATGTTACATGTTTTGTGGTCTGTGTGTATTTATTTATTTATATAATTGCCAACTGATTAACACCTATAATAAAGTTTGATTAGAAGGACAGTTTGAATTAGTCGTAAGTACTACAGTTCTTTTCTCAAATGTAAACGTTGGTTTTTGGTACCGGTACTGCTACCACTAGTTCTAAGGAAAAGTAGCAAAACAGAACAGTAGGAAAAGAATAATTTTTACATACAAACACATCACTATTTTCACTATTTATTTATAAACACTGCACCTTATTGCTTATTAAATTTAATTGACGTCTTACTGTATAATTTTTAGCGTTTTCTGTCTGGACTCCAAAATGTTGTGTGGACTCAATTCTGTATTTGTGTGTGTATGTCTATTGGTAATGCATTAGTGTCCTTATTTTTCGTGGAAAAGACAATAGCACCATTGTTAATACAAATTTCAACCCGAATAAAGTGTGCAGTAGTGAGGTTGAGGTAGTGTTTTAACTACTTTTAACCAGTGTGAAAAGTAACTTTCAATTACAGGCCTACCTTAGGGCTATGCCTCATAGATCTATACTGTAAAGCAATTCCTTTCATCGTTAGATATAAAGTATGGACTAACACGATTGGGTGACATTTAATTGCGAAGCATTTGTTTTGGCTTTGAAACTGTCAGATATTGTATTTGAGAAGGTTTATATGTATTCCTAAACAGTTATAGTTTTGCCATCATATCTGGAAATACCCCCGCCGCAGCAAACCTGCCGACTAAGCGAATTTCCATTTGTCTGAATTGATTTTCAGTGAAATATATTTTAATAACATTAGGTTTAACGAGTACCTAGGTTTGCTGCTACAAGGAAACTAATAAAGTGTGTTTTTGAGTAAAATATTGATAGCTTAGTACAAAATAAATAAATTTGCCAAGTTTGATCAAAATATATCCATAAACAAGCAAACTACAACATTTGACAATATTCTCCATAAGAATAACATGGGAATTTTAAATTTACAATTTTTTTAATTTTCTCCGTTACTAATAATCGAACAAAAATACTTTTATATACTAAATTATTTGTTTTTTTAAGCTCTTTAAAAAGGTCTAAAGAGAAATCGGGAAATTTTGTGTTTTGAGGGTCAAAAGTGAGAAAAACCAATTTTTACCCTATAAAACCCCCCGTAAAGCCCCGTTCCCATGGTCCGATCGTGCTGGTTCGCGAACTCATTCAAGTTTATCCTGCTTTACACCTTTAAACCAAATTTCATCAAAATCGGACAAAAATTACTCAAGTTATCGCGTTCACGGACGTATATATATATATATATATATATAAGTCTATATATATATATATATATATATATATATACATATATAAAAATTTGAACGAATGGTGTTTTTGGCCTCTGGGGACATCAAAATGAAAAAGTAAATCGGTCCCGGGTCTAGGTCTTACCGTGCCACCTACGGTAATAGCTACTTCCCTATAGGGAAATTCGCTAAAATGCACACTAAATATGCAAACCAACTCCTGTTCTGAATATAAGGTTTTAACTTACTACAAGATTCCCGTACGTAGAACGGGCAAACAGCTAGTCATACAGTATAGTGAATAGTGTAGTCATTTATTTATCTCGTTTCTATGACATAGCTCTATTTTGTAGAAATAAATTATGCAATTATAACAACAGAAATACTACATCATTATATTTTACGGTGACATAGTATTTATTTTACATATAAAAAATTTAAGTTAATGCAATAATTAGTTCAATTAGAACCATTGAATATTGAATAATTTAAACATTAATCGAAGACGAAGCGGTTGACAACTTTCAAACAGTTGACTAGGCCTAGTTGCCTTCAATAATTAAATGTTAGTTGCCTTAAACAATGTGAACTGTATGCACTGAGGTCGGCAAACAGTGTTCACAGTGTGCAGGCACTTTGGACGTCTTGGCACTTGGACGTCGTGCAACAGTCAAATATTGATTGGACGTCGTGCAACTGGCAGAGGCTTTGGACGTGGTGCAAATGATACTTTTTTACAATTCTACAGTGCGCTGTTTCACGACGTCCAAAGCTTGTAGAAAGACTATATTTTTGGCAGTTACTGTACTTTTGGACGTCGTGGTACTTGGACGTCGTGCAACAACTCAAAAATGATGTTTTGGACGTCGTGGCACTGAAAAAATATTATTGGACGTCGTGCAACGCTCCCTTTTTTGTCAGATGTCGTGTGTTCTCCCCAAGTCCTCCTAGTCCTAGTTCGCGCTGAGCCTTCTCGCCGTTCACTTCACATGCGTTTGTTTTGACTTCTGAGTGATAGTGACAAATAGCATTAATATTTAAAAACAATACAAAACATGTTCGAACATACAAACCTTTGACCAAGACTATCCCAAAACCTATGAAAGTTATATAACAAACATTGGTAAAGTTAAAAACTTGTTAAATGGCACGGACTCGTATAATTTTAAAACGTCTTTAAATAGGAACATTAACTTAACATTAACCTACATTAACTTAAGAAATAATTCACACATGAAAGATAATTACTTTTTTAATGATGTAGCCCCACATTGACCACTTCCAACGAAACGTATCAAATATACAATATAATCTTACTAACCTCACCGTAATAGCTAGCCTTTCTTTAGAAGTGATACAGTTCCTCAGTTTAGTATTTTGTTAAGCAATTGTAACTTTTATTGTAATTCATCAAAGGACGCAGCATATATTTTGAAGTAGTTGAAAATTTGTTATCATCACGCCGAAGTCATCAAAAAGAGTTTGAAATGATCCTGTGTGTTCCCTACTTTGATTAATAGGGTGAATCCAATACTTCCGCTTAATCATACGACGCTTAATTCTGCGCCATAGCAGCCACATAGCAACAACACGTAACGGATTCATTGTTTGATACAAAAACCACTGTTAAGATATTGCGCAACACACTCACTCCTCCTCGGCTACCGAGCAACTGGTCATTTATCCGATAAAGTGTCGTATAGTGGGCGAGGACCACACATACGATAAAAATATCCTACGACACAGTGTCGTACGACCAAAATCGTATAGTGGGCAAGAGGCCTTAATCCAATCTCTTATTTTGTTCTGATAACTAACAAATTTATCTCTATTTTTTGGGGATGGATTTCTTTTGTGTAACTTGTATAATTTATCTCTAACAGTAAAAGCCTTGAGCAAACCAGCATTCATCCAAGGTTTTAGCATTTTTTTTTTTTTTATGCTTAATTTGAGAAGTTGTACAGCTATCAAAGTTGAAAGTTTGGCATAAAACAGTTCATTTCCTGCAGGCGAAAACACGTATGGTAATGCAGGAAATTCCACCACCTTAACAATCGACAAAGTTCCAGGAATCGCATGAGTCAGGTTGCTGGGATTTTCCAGGAGTCGATAGTAATTAGGATAGCCTCAGTGTTGATAGTCTCGGTTATTCAGAGCTCAGAACAACTAAAGTTGTTGAACTACTAGCACGTGACACGGGACTGCCTACACACTAGCAAATCAGCATGGCGGGCATTGGCACAGCGCACCAAAAATTAAACTCGTTGATCTCCACCGAACCATGCCAATGATTGCGGTGCTTGCACAGTGTTCCCCACAAACTTTGCACGATTTGTCTATTTCTGGCACGGCATGCCATGTACGTGTAGTGTGTGGGCCGCTTAAATGAGCACGAGGATCTTATCAGTTTCAATGAGAAATAATTTCACCTAATTCACTTTATATTGGAAAAAAGTTTGTAAACCTACGACTGCTAAAAACTATTGGCATTGATTACTAACATGGATACAAATAATAAAATTAAACACTAAATAAAGTAAACTAACATTTAAATGAACCTAATTTATTGATTTAGATCTATTACCATAGATAAAACATACTCCCTTAGTGGATTTGTCATCCTAATGGAACAGCTGAAGCCAATTTTATTGTTAGTTCTGTACGTCGCACTGTAGGGGTCGTATTTTGTTTACAATTTGTTTCTTGTTATTTTAGTAATTTAAAACCTTGTTTAACCAAATAAAACAATCTAATCATAAACAATAACAGGTCTTCTAGTTATATAAACAATAGTAAAGCACAAATCATTAAAAACACACTAAAATAATAGAAACAAAATTTTGTCTACACTAGCGATCAGTATCGACGTACATGAACTAGACACGAAAAACAAGCTTCAAAATTTACAATGGGATGAGAAGTCTACTTGTGTTGCTTAGTCTATGGTATTACTACTCATAAAATGTAATATTACAAGAAGAATAATCAAACCCTGTCGTTTTATTTTTATTTGAAAACTTAAAATATAAAAAACTGTAAACGATGATACACCAAGTTATTCAATAAGTTACAAGAATAATTGCTCTAAACTAGAAACAACAATGTTTTTAATCAATACAAATTCTTGATGAGGATAAGCTGCAACCCTTCTAAGGATATCTGGTTAGTTATTAAAAAAGTGCCATTTAACATTAACCTCTAAATTAAGTTAAAAATATATATGAATTATAGATGAATTTTACCGTTGAATATTAGGGGCCATCTTGTTTACAAGATTTCATCGAAGGGGAGAAGAAAAGGAGATTTTTTTCAATAGTTCATATTAATAATATGTGTAACCTGTTTAAAAAAAAAATCCCTTTGAAAGCATTAAACGTTATGTATGTTTTAGTAAGATTTTTATTCTAATATTTATAATGCCCTGAATTCTGCAATCATTACATTTTTTAGATTCGGTGATATAACGAATGCTGCAATCATTAAATTTTTCAGATTCGGTGATATAAAGAGTATAAAGCTCACAACTAAACCGAGTTGCTTTGCTTTTGTAAACTATGAAGAAGCTTCTGCGGCAGGACAGGCTATGGAAGCGCTGCAGTCATCAAGATGGTTTCTAAGTACAATGCCACTCATTGTTAAATATCCCATCAAAGTCGTCAGAATGATGATACCTACATTGTAAGTACAGAACTTCTCATGTGAAGTTGTTTCAATTAGTTTTAATGCGCCTTAACTAATATTAGTAATGAAACAAACATCCCATGATAAAAGTTATTGAAACATACATATCGAATAAATAAATTTGCAGTTAATAAAGTAAAATCAAATGAAAAACTTTTTTTTTTTTCAAAAATGCCACCAGCTCTCAGAAAGATGTTGCAAAGTAGAACCTCGATAACAAGTCTCTCATGGAGATCATCAAGATTTGTTATTAAGGTTTGCAATGAAATGTAATTAAGGGTAATATAAAAAATCAAGGGTTTATAAAAATAACTCTTGCAATCAAGAGCCACTTGTTATTGAGGATCCACTGTCTAAGGTTAAGGTCATAGTTGAGTTGCACTGAAATGTTTATTATTGTGGCTACTGGCCAGTGGTAATGCCAAGTAATTATAGAAATTGTTAAATTAAACTTTTTCCTACAGTTACCAAACAATGTACATGTTCTCTCACTGATTTGAGAAAGCAAAGTGGCCAATTCGCTCATCAGTGAGACAATGTTAACATTGTCTCAATCTAATTACTTTGTCTCACTCCGGGGGCCCTATTTTTGAAATGGTTGACTGTTGAGTCAATCGTCAGCACTCAACTCAACCAACAACATGATTTGGTATTTTTGAAACCCAACAGTTGGGAAGCGAGTTGGGAATCGCTAGTTGAGAGACTCGTGGTGGAAATGTAGAGCATACGACCGTCAAAAATTCAGATGACGTCATTTTGAACCAATCACAATGCAGAGTTCTTGTGGACTTCAATTTAACCTCTTCTTACTCTAAAATCTGGCAGCTAATCTCAATCTGCCATATTTCGAGACACTGAGGTAAACTGTCAACTCCGTTCTTGAGAGATTGAGATTGAGGTTATGTCTTGCTTAATCTTAGTGATTGCAAAGTACCTTAACTTAAGTAATAAACTAAAGTAAACTAAATAAAGTAATAAACTTAAGTATAAAAAATAAAATTTACTATGGATGTTTGTTTTAGGGTGTAGCTAATTATAAGTTTAGGCATAGGCTGCACTTTACTTTAGGTCCTACACTCATCCTAAATACATTATTATTTGCTTTCTTCGTCTCTATTTTGGAACACATCACCTTATTTTAGTTTCCTTCATCGGTTTGTTTTATGTTATTTTTAATTGTTTTTTATTTAGGTTAAAGCGGCTATTTGCCATTGCACTGAAAGCATATCGTAACTTAAATTAATTTGATCCCTTTATTAGGTGAATGGTATTGAAACAAACTATGATATTGTTTCTCTCTACCACAATCTTTAATACCTTAAATCATAGGTCTAATAACAATAATTATCTTATAATAAGTTCAATTAGTATGCCTAGTCTATTTCAAACATTCCAACAAGAATAAAACCCTTGATTAAATAGTCTAGTATTGACACAGTAAATAAAATTAAAATGTGATTAATCTACAGAAAACAATCGCATAATTGGGTGCTAATACATTGACAACAAATACATAACCTCTAAATCGCAATTAGTAAATTAAAGCAATAACAAAACAATATGGCGTCGTCTCAAAAAGAGTAATTTTTTGCCGAAAGAGAGGAAGAAGAAAGTGCACTCAACCTTCACTCAACAGCTCGATAGGTGTTGAGTAGTTTTGGTTGTATAAGTCCACCGTCAACCGTTTCAAAAATACGAAACGATTGGAAATAGAATGACTCGACACTCAACTCAACAGTCAACCATTTCAAAAATAGGGCCCCAGATTTGCAACGTGAAGGCTCGAAATAGTGAGCACGTTATGCGCGCGAAATACGTTGGCAGCACTGGCTGTAAATCAGCTGGTCAGCTGTTGTACTGTTGTATTTGTCACTTCACATTAAATGTTATATTAAAAGTTCACTTCTGTCTGTGTAAAAATAGGTTATGTTTCTTCACCAATTTATTTGTTTTATGGTAACTGTAGGAAAAGTATAATGTGCAACTCGAGCTCAAAGTACAATTGCCTCACTCGAGAAACCATTCCTCACTCGCCAACGGCTCGTGAGTAAGGATTTCTCTCGAGTGAGTCAATTGCTCACTTTTCTCACTAGTTGCACAAATAACTATTCTTTTCAATAATTACCACACAGAGCATAAAATATATCTATATTATCTGACTATGTCCCATATTCTAATACCAAAACTATAGGAATCAAAATGTAAAATATTTGTATTTTCTTAAATTTTCACTTTGCTTTAGGGAAAACCCGGAACTAATTCTTAAACACTGGGGAACACAAGCTCCTACATCTGTAAGACCTTCAGCGTCTGTTAAGAAGATACCAGTGGTGGAGAAACCAAGTCCTGGGAAACCCCGACCACCTCCCAAGACAGAAGAGTGTTTCTACTGGAGAACAATGGGCTGTTCTTACGGAGGCAAGTGCTTTAACCTGCACATTCCAGAGCACAAGGGAATAGACCTTAAACCACCAAACACCAAGAAGAAACTTACCTTCAAGTAACATGCAGACCCAAGACTGCAACTCAAGCAGTATTATAAGAGATTGTATAAGTAGACACTTATTAATGAATTTTTCATCCACATTCAAGGTTACTGATCAAGAAAGCGAGACAGGTTGTTAAGTGATCTATTCACTCTTCTTGTTTTAACCAGTGAGAATAATTTAATGATGATGTTACATAATCTTTTTTCCTTATAGTTAGAACATAATTGATTATAGATAAGTTGTTTTATAAGTGCTTATTATCATAAACAATGATTTTTAACCACCTTCATTAAAAATTACATCTAAGCATTTTGTTTGTTTATTATGTGATGAGATTGGACTAGAAGTGTTTTGAGGACTTAAACGGATATGAATATTATCCCAGCTGTTAAGTTAAATATTTAGCAGTTTGTAAACTAAGAAGCTCTTTTATTAAAATTTGTCTTTACTATTATAATTAATATAAATTTTGTTAAGCTTTGTGTTACTGTGTTCTGGGTAGAGTTCTGCAGTGCACCAAAAAAAATTGTAAGGTACGGTTCTAGCCATCGGTATTACCACCGTCGGTTTGGTACGGCATTTTCCTCAATATAAATTCAGTTCTGTATAGCCTACAATAATCACTATAACAGTTAGAAGTAGTTTTTATCAGGTCAGGTAAAACAGTAAAACAAATGAGAGAAGCGAGATTACCCTATGTATTTAAGTGGTTGTCACAAACAGGTTATCTAAGGAATATAAAATATAAATACTAGTAAATATTATTATTATATGGTAGGTTGTTTAATTACATTCCCTTAATTTTTTTTTAAATTTTTTTTTTATTAAGTTTTCTAGTACATGGAAGCTTTACCAAACATCTACTTAATACAATAAGGGTTTTCCCTGTTACATCCTTTTTCAGCCGTCCCACTCTACTAGGGATCCCAGACGTCCTTATTTCCCCTTTTTTCCCTCTTTTTGGGTAAATAAAAAACTTCCAGGGGGGGGGTATATTTGGCAAAACTTTAAATGTCTGGGATTTTGACTTTTTCAACAACAAAAAAACTAAAAGTTATTTCTGCACGCATAGTGGCTTTAACTCCCAGAATGAGAATGTTACTGGAAACTAATTAAAAATATTGTGTCAGTGTAATAATATCTTATGTAGAAGTTTTGTTTCCTCTTTTTGGATTAAATTTTGTGTTTAATGTTAAAGACTTGGTAACAATTAACCCAGCATGACTTGACTGACTGTCTCTGCTAGCTCCTTGTCTGCTTCCTGCTTACTTTTACGCTACCGCTACACGACAAGCTTGCATTAAAATTATTCTCTTACTTCGCCTTAAAAGTTTCTAGTCCCTACTAATGAAAATAAGATGTGTGTTTTCAGTCGAGTTAAAAGAAAAGTTTAATTTGTCTAAAAAAATCAACAAAACAACTCCAACCTTCAAACAGTTACATCATCCTCTGGAATTGACAGTTTCTTGACGGGAAACATGACTCTTAGTTTAATAATTTTGCTCGTGATGCAGAAAGAACTCTGCATTTCACACTGTTAAACATCACCAGAGTTTGAAGTCTATGGGTTGTAGCACTAAACTTCAAAATGTGTTTTTAAAGACTCTAGTCTTGCAAAACATGTTTCTAATTCAGTAGTTTGATATTAAGTGAGGAGTGGTCCAGACAAAAGTTTTCGAGTAAAATTCCTCCTAGATTTTTTCAATAGCATTGTTAACATAAGCACGCCTAAATTAATATTTGTAAATATTGTAAATATTTTACTGATACTGTAGTTTAAAACATAAAGGCTAGCAGTTTTAACATTCTAGTTCAAACTTTCGAAAACTTACCATATTGGCTATACCCTTTTAGAAATTGTCAGACACGATTAAAAAAAATACCAAAATGTTGAAAATTCTATCTAAAAATATATTCTAAATAATTCTCATAAAAGCCCTTAAAATGTGTATAAGTAATTCTGAATTTTTGTAAATTAGTAGTTTTATTCACCTAACAACAGTCTCAAACATATTCAGTCTTCAAAAAGTAAAAGGGTATTGCATTATTTGTTTTGCTTCGGAATCAAAAACCTTTAAAATGTGCAATTTGTCCACCCCTCATATGAATATTAAGAGATGGGGACACAATAAATTTGCAGGTAAAGACACAGAACACCTAGCCAGAACAACAGTAGCCTACAACATTAACTTCTAGCTTGCAACTGTACTATGTTTCACTTTACAGTACTGAATAAAGAGCGTCTCATTCGTCATAACCCCATTTGTTGTAATTATTTTTTTTTTTTTTTTTTTTATTCAATTAACTAACATGTTTGTATAATACATAAAGAAATTGAGGTATGCTCTCTTCATTATATTAAACTTCAATCACTTTTCTTTGTAAAACTAGCTTCACAAACCAGAATATTTATTTCTCTACGATCTACAAGCATTCATCCTATCATTTAAAACTAACCAACAAGAGATATTGCAGAATTGTTTTGCTGTGAGATATTCTGGACTATCTTTATGAAATTAACATCAATAAGTAAATCATTCATGTATCTTGAGAAGTGAAATCATCTGGCTTTTCTAATGAAATTCTAGCTATACTGATAATATTTGTAGCTTGAATCAAACTCTTTGTTTAATTTTTTAGTTTTCTTTGACTTTGTTGTGCTGTAATCATATCACATTTTTTATTAAATACATTCTGAATACCATGAGGACTGTTATTTTCAACCGGTTTTATTACCTAAGTTAAAACTGTTGAAGTTATTAATTAAAATAAGTACCTGGGGGATGCTTGGATATAGTGATGTGGGCCGGGTAAATACCCAGTGGGTAGGTAAATATAAATTGGGTTTTTACCCGGGTATTTACCCCAGGCCCGGGTAAATACCTAAAAACTGGGTATTTCTTGGATATGTTTAATTTGTTTTGGGCTTGTGCAAGACGCTACAGTTTTGTGCTATTCCTACATAAAATCTATTTTTTTACGATTAAAAAATCTATTCTTAAAATAACGTAATTGAAATGTAATATAAATTATACTAATATTATAAATTTGAAAAGTCTGTGTGTTTGATTGTGTAAAGTTCAATCAAGCATTAACTACTTTCTGGTCAGATTGGATTGAAATTTGGTATGATAATAGCTCACATTTCCGATTAACATATAGACATATTCTTATATCAAAAATCCTTTCGGACTCCGCTCCAGTGGCTCTAGAGTTTCCCATGTTAACCTTTTGAGTATTATGACAAAAACTTATGACCAAAAAATGAAAAAAATCCTCGCTCACTTACTTTTTCATGTTTACATTAAACAACCTTTTTATATTTTCCATTATTAAACATTAATCATCTGCACGAACTAAATTGTATTTATATAGTATTAAACATCAGTTTACGCAGAATTTAAATATGTAAATTTCATCCTGTCACAATTTGTATTACAATTTATACGAACGTGCAAAGCGACAGGGAACGCACCACTTCGAATAGTCTCGCCAACATCGGAATCTCTCTTCCAGCATGTGTGTGTGTAATGGGTGCGTGTGTGTGCATACGTTATCGTTTCCTGCACGGACTGTACCCATTGTCACTTGGAGTTATGAAACTTGGTGTTATGAACCCTTGGAGTTATGAAACTTGGACTTGTGGTCCTTGCAAATCTGTACGTTTGGAGTTTTGAAATTTTGTATTTTAATTTACTTGGTTTTATTTTAACTTGGACTTATGAACCTTGGAGTTATGAACGCTTGGAGTTATGAAACTTGGTCTTATGATATTTTGGTTTTAATTTACTTGGACATAATTTCACTTGGAGTTATGAAATGTTGTATTTAAAAGTACTTGGAGTTATGAAAACTTGGAGTTATGAACCTCACCCCTATCAAACAGCCGCAAATATCAATGTCACGTAGTTAGGCTATATTAATAATAACATTCTTCAAATGACATAAAATGTCAAAGAAAAATCTTGTTTACGAGACCAAATAAATACAGCTTCTCTTATTCGTAATGGGTTTCCGTAAGACATCTCGTATGAAGCGATCGTGGTGTAGTGGCTAAAGGGGCGGATTCTCACGCTGGAGTCCCGGGTTCAATCCCCAGTCGGACGCTTGAAAATTTTGTTTTGAAATTTTTGAGTTTAAAATTTTTATTATAGTTTGTGCTTGCGAGAGCAACAAGAAAATACACAAACTCACAAATTTTAAGATTTATAATATTACTAGCTGTACCCGCGGGCTTTGCCCCGTTTAACTTCACAAGTGAGCTCGTTCGCATGGCTCAATCACGTCTTGGTTGAAGTTCGTTCGCTACGCTCACTCACCTTTAGGTTGGAGCTTGTTCGCTCCGCTCACTTACCTTCAGGTTAGCTCGTTAGCTACGCTAAATCGCTTCCAGGTTGAAGTTCGTTCGCTACGCTCACTCACCTTTTGGTTGCAAGTTGGCTGTAGTCATAAATTTAAAAAAATATTAGTGTTGCACCCTGTTGGTAATCCTTGTAACTTTAATGATATTGAACATCATAGAACAGAACCATCAACTTGTTTACATTGAAACAGCTGTTAAGAAATTCCTTTTAAATATGAACAATCATAAAATTAACATGGGAAACTCCAGAGCCACTGGGGCGGAGCACGAAAGCCCGATCAGAATAAAAACTACTTAGTTTTCCTATTTAATGCCCAAAGAATCGGTGTACCGAATTTCAGCCTCCTAGGTAAATGGGAAGTGGGAGAAATAGTGATGGGTGAGTGAGTGAGTCAGTCAGTGAGGGCTTTGTCTTTTTAAAACGTTTTTATTAGCTCACTTTCTTGTCCGGTACAAATTTTGCAATCGATTTTATACCAACTTCTCGATGAGCTAGAGACTTGAAACTTGAAACATAGCTCACAAATGGAAGACAATGCAATATTTTATCATTTATTTTTTATATTTCCCTTGGGCTACGCCCCATGGGCTTGTTTTTATTAATTCGCTTTCTTGCAAATTTTGAAACTTCCCGATGAGCTAGAGACTTGAAACTTGAAACATAGCTCACAAATGGATGACAATGCAATATTATATCATTTAATGTTCATATTTCCCTTGGGCTACGCCCCATGGGCTTGTTTTTATTAGCTCGCTTTCCTACAAATTTTGATATCAATTTTAAACGAAGTTCCCGATGAGTTAGAGACTTGAAATTTAAAACATACCTCACAAATGGATGACAATGCAATATTACATCATTTAATTTTCATATTTCCCTTGGGCTACGCCCCATGGGCTTCCAAATTTTCCATGTTTACATTTTGAAAGAATGTAAATATATCAATTAATTTAAGTCAGCTGTAAATATACTTAAATTTGACAGTTCGAAGAGCAGAGGTTAAGAGGTACAAGTTATGCTCCCAAGAGATTCTTTATACAAACAAACATTTCAAAATAAAGATAAACAACCTGATTGCATATATAAAGGTGTTTGTTAATAACGTCAATTGTTATTTAGAGACAATTAGTATTCTATGAAGTAAACAATAGATTAAGTATATTGATATATTTATAGTTAGTAGGTGGGCCATACATTCAATCTAATACATAATTATATGAAAAGATACTCAAATAAACCTTATATTTCCTACATGCCTCTATCTTAATCTGATATAGATGCTTGAAATAGATTTAACATCCACACACATTAAAAACTAAAAAGTAAAAAATAATTTATAAATAAAAAACTATTTAAAAAAAAACAAAATGTTTTTTCCTACAGTTACCTAACAATGTACATGTTCTCTCACTGATTTGAGAAAGCAAAGTGGCCAATTCGCTCACCAGAGAGAATGTTAACATGAATGACAATGTTAACATTGTCTCACTCTAATTACTTTGTCTCACTCCAGATTTGCAACGTGAAGGCACGAAATAGTGAGCGCGTAACATGCAGGCAACGTTGTATGCGCGCGAAATACGTTGGCAGCACTGGCTGTAAATCAGCTGGTCAGCTGTTGTACTGTTGTTTTGTCACTTCACATTAAATGTTATATTAAAAGTTCACTTTTGTGTAAAAATAGGTTATGTTTGTTCATGTTTCTTCACAAATGTTTTAGCGAATTTCCCATATAGGGAATAAGCTATTACCGTAGTACTCATGGTAAGACCTGGCCCCGGGACCGATTTTTTTTTTTCGTTTTGAGGTTCCTAGAGGCCAAAAACACCATCCGTTCAAATTCTCATATATATATATTTATATATATATGTGTCCGTTAGCGCGATAACTCGAGCAAAAATGATCCGATTTTGATTAAATTTGGTACAAACGTGTAAACCTACGTTTATTCGAACGAGTTCGCGAACCAGCATGATCGGACCATGGGAACGGGGGTTTATGGGGGGTTTTATGGGGTAAAATGGGTTTTTCCCATTTTTGACCCAAAAAACATCAAATTTAGCAATTTCTTTCTAAACTATTTTGTAGAGCTTAAAAAACAAATAATTTAGTATATTGAAGCATTATAATGCGCCTAATGGTTACGGAGAAAATTCCAAAAAATTGCAAATTTAAAATTCCCATGTTATTCTTATGGAGAATAAGTAAACTGTTGTAGTTTGCTTGTTTATTATCATATTTTGCCCAAATTTGGAACATGTTTTTTATTTCTTACTAACAATTAACATTTTACATAAAAAAACACTTTTACCCTCCCTGTTGCAGCAAACCTAAGTATGTGTTAAACTGATTCTATTTAAATAGGGATAAATGTGATGTTTTTAAGGAGACATTTTAGTGTAAATCCAATCAGGCAAATGGATATTCACTTAGTCTGCAGGTTTGCTGCGGCGGGGGTATTTGTTTTATGGTAACTGTAGGAAAAGTATAATGTGCAACTCGAGTTCAAAGTACAATTGCCTCACTCGAGAAACCATTCCTCACTCGCCTACGGCTCGTGAGTAAGGATTTCTCTCGAGTGAGTCAATTGCTCACTTTTCTCACTAGTTGCACAAATAACTATTAAAGGCACTAAAAAGTAGAAAATAATTTATAAATATGTGGAGAGTATAAATACTTGTAAGATTTAAAAATAAAAACGTGGGGTGCATGCAATTGATAATAACACATTAGTTCAATAGGTGAAGGTAATTGTAAATTATCTATTGCATGCACCCCACGTTTTTCGTTTTAAATCTTACAAGTATTTATACTCTCCACATATTTATAAATTATTTTCTACTTTTTAGTGCGTTTAAAAACGTTTTGTTTTAAAAAAGTTTTTTATTTATAAATTATATAAGTATAGATAAGAAGTGTTTAGGAGTCCAGTTACATAACCCAAATGTGGCAACAATTCCTTATAATAATTCCAGTTATTGTCAAAAACTCATTTATACATGAGCATAAATGGAAAATTATTATTCCATATATGAGTAATTTAATTCCATACCTGGGAGTCATGGCCATATATTAACAATAATTCCATATATGGAATATATTTATGGCCATATATGGGCAATAATTTCATATATAGAAAACATGTATGGCCATATATGGCCAATAATTCCATATATAGGCTACATATATGACCATATATGGATACAACCACATCTGGCCATATATGCTTCCATATATGGTCATCAAAAACCATATATGGCTTTATAAAAACATATATGGAATTTTGATATGGCCATATATGGTCAGAAACTACTTTTTTATAAGGGATGGCCCGAACGATTTTGATAAAAATTTAGTATGTTGTACCCCTTTACATTCTGAACAAAATGGTACAAATCCCATTTCTGTAAAAATTACGGTTCAAAAGTTATTGTAAATTATGTTATTTTCCCATAAAAACCCCATAAAATAAAGGAAAAATCTAATTTTCCCAAAAATGGTCCAAAAAAACCAAACTAAATTACGGTTCAAAAGTTATTAAATAACTTCTTGATCAGCATTGTACAAGTTATTAAATTTACGGAAAGTAAATAAAAGAAACGTCTTAATAACACTTAAAACACATATTAACGCTTATACTGTTACTCACAAGACGGTAAATATACAAAAAAGATGGTAAGTGGTGATCGATTTCGATTGGACACTCCAATCATCATCAGACCCAATATGCGAATGAACCGGTTCATTTTTTTGTGTTTTGAGGTGAAAGTAAGAAAAATAAAAACAGATTATTCAAGAACAGTTTATAACTGAACAAATATAAAATCTACAAAGGATAATGCAGCATTCATACTGCATACATACATACAGTGATGCAGAAAAGTAAAGACCAGTTCTTCCAACTATCATATGACGTCACCAATCATCATATCCACAGACTAAGCGACGTAATTGTGCGTCAGACATCTCTGTAGACCACTGCAGGGAATTCAGTGCCTTCAAATAGACCGTTACAAAGGTTGATAAAATTTGGCAAATTTATTTATTTCATCCTATACTATAAAATGTGAATATAATGACAGGCAGGTCTTGCCATACGTCAATATGTATGGTCAAAAAACACTTTTTACCTTCCCCGTAGCAGCAAACCTAAGCACTCGTTAAATCTAACTTTATTTAAATTGGGAATAAATATGTCTTATTTATGGAAATATTGTAGTAATAATGCAATCAGACAAGTTGAAATTTGCTTAGTCTGCAGGTTTGCTGCGGCGGGGGTATTTTAAATTCCTTCTACAGGTGACAAGTTATTTTCAGAAATGAATGTTATTTTAACTAAACAGCTGTTTCAAAACAAACTATTTGTTATTTATTTTCTTTGTTCACTTATATTTCATAGATGACTCGGTAAAATGAATTATCTTTCGTTTGTCCTTTTAGCGAATTTCCCATATAGGGAATAAGCTATTACCGTTGGTCTCATGGTAAGACCTAGACCCGGGACCGATTTACTTTTTCGTTTTGAGGTCCCCAGAGGCCAAAAACACCATCCGTTCAAATTCATATATATATATATTTATATATATATATATATATTTATATATGTGTCCGTTAGCGCGATAACTCGAGCAAAATTGATCCGATTTTGATGAAATTTGGTACAAACGTGTAAACCTACATTTATTCGAACGAGTTCGCGAACCAGCATAATCGGACCATGGGATCAGGGGTTTATGGGGTAAAAATGGGTTTTTCTCATTTTTGACCCTAAAAACTTTAAATTTCTAAATTTCTCTCTAGACCATTTTGAAGAGCTTAAAATAACAAATAATTTAATATAATGAAGTTTTTTTAAATGTTCTTTGACTACGGAGAAAATTAAAAAAATTGTAAATTTCAAATTCCTATGTTATTCTTATGGAGAATAAATAAACTGTTCTAGTTTGCTTGTTTGTGGATATATTTTAATCAAATTTGGCTTATTTCATACTAAGCTATCAATATTTCAATTAAAAAAAACACACCTCAACATCTTCCCCGTAGCAGCAAACCTAACTACTCACTAAAATTAATGTTATTTAAATAGGAAATTAATCTGAAAATTTATTGGGAATATTTTAGTAGAAATCAAGCCGGGTAAATGGAAATTCGCTTAGTATGCAGGTTTGCTGCGACGGGAATAAAATATATTCATATATATTTTATAATTAATCAAGTGACTGTGCATGGCATGGGACGGCTGCAAGACACGAGGGACTTATGTCCCTGCAATCCACTAGTATTTTGTAATTTGCTAGTACACTACATGGTTTGTTATCATATGTTACAATCTTTTATTTACATTTCTGTAAAACCATCATGGCTACTTGGCAACACACAAGGCTAATCTTAAAAATATTAAAGTCTCATGTTAGGTTTTTTACAAAAAAAGAATTTTTCTAGAACAGAGCCTATCATAAATATTTAATTTAGCTTAAAACTAATATATTTTTCTAATAATTTAAAGGAAATATTAGAAAAATATCTGGAGCCGTTATTGAAATCACTGTGGGGGCACACATTACTCGTATTATAGTATTGTTTATGCTATGAGGGGGCCCATTCGCAAATCCTATTAAAAATCATTTATTGTATAAATTACGGTTCAAAAGTTATCATAATTTATGTGATTTTTCTATGAAATAGCAGAAATATTGAATTTTCTCAACCAATTATATTTATACTGTACAATAAAAGTCTTGGTGACAGGAATGTTTTAACACATTGAGTGCGGTGAAAATATCAGTGGGTGCTTCCCCAGGGCCTGAGATATTTTTTATATAAAATCTTTCCTATTGTTCCCAGAAGTGAGGATCCAGGTCGGAAATCGCTGGTCACTGGTGACCGGGCTGGCCCGCGCAATGACGTCTATAGTAGACATTAAAAAAAATCACATTAAAAATGTTAAATCGCCCTATATTTATTATTTACAATTATTTACAGCCCCTTCCTCCCTCCCATCTATTGTATTTTACACTAAAAGTGCGTCGTGGAACTGGTTTGAAACAATTCTCTATGCATAATCCTGGTTTTCCCGGACAAGTGCTACAGAAAAAAAAACTAAAATAATATATTTGTGTCATGTAACAGTCAGCAAACACAACAGAAGTACGTCAATAAATGTGCCGTTATTAAATCTATAAGTAGGAATTTACAGGTCATGGCTGACCGGTGCCGGTTTGCGGGAACGGTGCGCAAAACACACACAACAGAGGTTAGGTTATGCTAGTAACGCACTCGCAATAACTCCCGTCTACTCCTCAAGATCGCGCCACAATGACTGATTAATTTCAGCGGGACCTGGCCGAGCACCAGTGACCGGCCTGTGAACTAAATTTCAATCAAAATCGTTAAGCCGTTTTTGAGAAAATTGCATTTTTCTGTTGAGTAATACGATGAATAGGAATGTTCAATAGTGTAGAGGCTTTTATGACAGAATATTATAGCCTACACTTATATTCAACTAAAAGTTGTAATGAAAAGCTATGGATTTATTGAAGTTTTTGATGATGCTCTTTCGGCCTCGTTCAACGATTCCCATGATCCCATTGACTAACGTGTTACAACAAGGCTGATAAACAGATGTTTTATAGTATGCTGTTGAGTTTTAAACATATTGGCTATGGTATTTGTCGTCTTAATTGATCGTCAATAATTAGTTTTACTCTTCTAATACAGTAGGCCTAATCGTCTGAAATAAACATAATCATTGGAAAGGAAAAGGATAGGATATCATCCATTGTTCGTTTTGCCTCAAGAGGAGTTTTGAAACCTATTAAAATGCACAATGTGCACAAATGGGTCTCGTCGTTCTTGTATAATAGTGGTATGATTGTAGCCTAGTGATGAATATGTAAAATAGATTCTTCAATTATTTCTGTTTGTGGAACTGGTTTTTTTACACAGATTCTTTATTTTCATACATCGTGTTTATACAAACCAGAGTGTCATTATGATTTAATATTATCTGTTATGGAGTAAAATGCATTATTCAAGACCCACCTTGACTAGCGAAGCATTTAAGATTTAGTGAAATTTTCAAACATTTTAAAGACAAGGAAGAATATTACATATTAAAACGTACAGGTTTAATTAAAAGTAACTCTCATAGATCTAGCATATCATTTCAACACATAAAAAAGTCAAGATTTACAATGGATAAGAACAATTAATTATTCTGATGGCCAAGCAATAGATTCAATCCATGGTACATAATGAGCCACCTTCGTATATACTGAAGGTGTGCGTCCGTTGCTGGTTTCATCCAAACATATCTTGCCAAAAGAAGCTAATCCAGCAACAGATAAAACACAGCTCTCCTTGAAAACGTATAGAGGACCACTCTGAAATTGAAAAATACTAATTAAATTAAATGCAGTTTTCATCAAACTGAAACAAAATAAAGGGTATCAGCAATCTGACACATACTTTCTCCCATAAGCTTGTTAACAACCTTTATCATGGGTAAGCGGTGGGAGTAACTATGATATTTTATAGGGAAAAATCACAAAAATTGCTATAATCTTTGAAGCCTGATTGTTACAGCAATGAGGGGTCCTTTGAAATCTGTTAAAATCAATTGTAACGATTGTGGTAGGTTCTACATTGGGCAGACTGTGAAAATCGTTAACCGATTCAAAAACCACATATCTGTGTGGAGGAACAACAAACCGGAAAGATCAAATGTCTCACAAAACATGTTACAAAATGGCCACGCAATAGGAAAAATGGAGGATAGTCTATGTATATTAAAGAATTGTAAAAAAAGATATGTAATGAATGCTTGGGAAGAATTGTATATTTATAAGGAAAAGTGTAAAAATAGAAATAAGCTGATTAATGAACAAGTAAATTTTGACTCCAGCTGTACTTAAAAAAAGTGTATTAGCCGGTGCTTCCGGTAGCCAATAGGATATAAGTAGGGACGCCATTCAAAATTCTTGTCATTCGCCAATTGGGTCTGATGATTGGAGTGTCCAATCAAAATCGATCACCACTTACCATCTTTTATGTATATTACCATCTTGTGAGTAACAGTATAAGCGTAAATATGTTTTAAAAACACGTTTCTTTTATTTACTTTCCATGTGTTTTTTAACACAACAACACAAGGAAATACATCACCTTTCTTTCATTTAGATTCATAATCAACAACATAACAAAACGGCAATGTAAATTTAGGAAACCACATGGCATAAAATCAATTAGTAAAAACTTGAAAACAATGTTGTGAAGTGAATGGTATTGCATATAGGAACGGGAAAAGGGAAGAGTGGTATATGCTTGTGCGGTCTTACTGAGTGAGCAGCTGATCTATTAGAGCATCTCTTTGCAGTTGTCTGCTGGATACATGTCGTAGCGCAGATAATATTACATCACAACAAAGTGACTTAACTCACAATACAATAGCTCGTATAAGGCTTATGTATGAACACTATCCGCGTTTACGAGAGGCTAGTTGGCGAGCAGGTTACTTGCCCTAATGTATTTAAAGTTACCTGAAAAAGTAGCCTGCTCGCCAACTGGTCTCGTGTAAACACGGCTTGAGGTATAACAGTTGTAGGATGTTACTCTTGAAAACGTAAACAAAATTACCCAGAACCCGAAATAACTTTTTGTTGAAGAGAAAAACTTTTTTTCTATCCTAGGTAGAGGCTCCCTAGGACCTGGCCCCTGGCCAGTTCGGGCCTGTATTTAGGATGGCTAATATAGCTAGGATTGCCTTTTGAAATACAATAAATGGCTTATAGACACTCCTTACTGCACTGTATATAGCTACTGTTAAAGGAGGTGGCCCTTACCAGACAATCTCCAGGTCCATTGGCAGGGTCCTTTGTACACAAGGTTGCCTCTGAGCTAATATTCTGGCTTGGGAACACTTCATTACACGTTGAAGCTGGTTTTACTTCCAGCCAACTCTTCACTGGACATTTCTCCCTCACTAAAACATAATGTTTCTATTTGATTTACTTTGATTTTATATAAAGGAGCAGTCAACACTTCACAATACTAAAACACCTTTGTCTGAAATCGAGAAAAATCCTGGTTCAGAAACACAATTTTGCATCTCTTAAAAGAAACACCATAGCCTCCTTTAAGTCCTCGGCATTCAAGTGTGGTAACATTACACCTGCAACATGTAACGTTCAAATGTGTAAACATCAACATTGTGCATACGCTCCATTCTAAATTAGTGTAACAGCTTTTTCAGTTTGCTAGGACAGTGTTGCCACTTTTGTCTCGCCGCGGCCTTGTAGGAGGCGATGGAAACACATAATCTATATATTAATAGGCAAGCATGTTTCTTTAAAACCTTTTTTCTCAGCTTCTGTGCATCGTAGGGAATATCTACGCATACTGTTAGAAAGAAATTGTCCTGTAGGTGTGCAGAATCCCAATTAAAATAGGCTCAAAAATAAGCACAAGAAAATTAATTTTAAATTTTAAAAAATTTACATGGGCCTTATGGGTTGCCTTGCTAGTGACGAAATTACAACAAAATATAAACAGAAAATCAGAACAAATCGAATAAATTCCAATCACATGTATTATTTACAGTGTGAGGTGAAAATAGACAAGTCTGTACAATTGATATTTTTGGTTGAGTTTTCGACCACTGGACGACCTCTAGTGAATATTAATGTGAAAACCTACCAAGACCAGGTTTACTTAGCAGCTGTTAAATGATTCAAATCAATTATTATGAGGTGAAAAACTCCTTGTATGCACACTGTGTGTATACCTGCAAGCCCACTTTGTCATTATGGTAAGTTTACTTTCTTATGATAGCGTTCAAAATAGTGCTGCCTACTGAGGTTCTCATAAACTGTGAAGTATGGGCTGTTATTAAATTTCTAGAAGGACCTGCTGGCCAGCTTACAGCACTTTTTAATCGTAAGGAGTTTTAAATACTAATATAAAACTAGGCATGATATTTGTATCATTAGGGATGAAAAATTTGTTACAGCAAATAAAAATAGCATTACAGTATTTGCACAGTTATTAAATGCTGTACATTTTTATCTACTTGACTTGACCTGCCTAAGACTTATGCTATTCTCATATTAACCCTTTCCGGACGGGTGACGGATATATCCGCTTATGGTTTTTGATGTTCTGGACGGGAAGCGGATATATCCGCCTTCTCTTCAGACAGACTGGCAGGTGCTTGAGCAGTAACCAGATGTTTCACTTTCCTGCTCTCTCCATGGCTGCGCTCTCTCCCGTGCATACCCCTCTCCCGCACACCCCCAACCTCTCCTACGCTCCCCCCTCGACGTTTCATGCTCAACACTACATTGTCTGTATTTATTGTTTACATATTGTTCTTTATTTATTGCCTAACGTTGTCATGGTCATATCTTAAAGATGGGTGACGGACATATCCGCATATTTAAAAACGAGTAAAAAATTATTTTGACAGTATGAAGTGTTCCACTGTGTTTATTTTATGTATACTTGTATAACAAAACACAAATAAGGAAAATTAATTTTTATTTTTAATTTCTCCCCCTACACCATAGTATATGGAGAAAGTATTGTTTTCGTCAAAATTTTCGAGTTTGAGTTTTGAGTGGATATTCGTTTTGGGCCCCCCTGGACCCAAAAAAGTGGTTTTCGAAGTGATGTCTGTGTGTGTGTGTGTGTGTGTGTCTGTGTGTCTGGATGTGTACAGAGCTAGGGACTACACCTGTGGTCCGATTTCGATGAAATTTGGTATGTAGGTTCTAATCCATGGTATTTCCAGGTGTTTTTTTCATTTTTTTGAAGTTTTGATTTTTAATGGGGATTTTCCCATAAAACCCCCAAAAAAAACCGGAAAAATGGAATTTTCTCAAAAATGGCCCGAACAATTTTGATGAAAATTTAGTATGTTGTAGCCCTTCAAATTCTGAACAAAATGGTACAAATCCCATTTCTGTAAAAATTACGGTTCAAAAGTTATTGTAACTTATGTTATTTTCCTATAAAAAACCCATAAAATAACAAAAAATAGGATTATCGAAAAAAATCTGGTTTTGATTTAACATAGTATGTTATGGTCCTTACCATTTTGAAAGTTTTTTGTACATTTTTTAGAAATTTTGATTTTGATGGAAAAATTGGATTTTCCCAAAAATGGCCCTAACGATTTTGATAAAAATTTAGTATGTTATAGTCCTTTATATTCTGAACAAAATGGTACGAATCCCATTTCTGTAAACATTACGTTCAAAAGTTATTGAAAATTATGTTATTTTCCATAAAAGCCCTATAAAAAACGGAAAAAATGGATTTTCTAAAAAATGGCCCGAACAATTTTGATAAAAATTTAGTATGTTATAGTCCTTTAAATTCTGAACAAAATTGTACAAATCCCATTTCCGTATATTGTACTCTCACCTCTTACACATGATAAAGGTTGTTGACAAACTTATGGGAGAAAGTATGTGTCATAATGCTGATACCGTTTATTTCCTAAAATTTTTCCCCGTTCTATGTCGCGATTTCGCCTGTCCGGGAAGGGTTAATGTACTTACATTCAACATAAGCGCTCCCGATTGGTCGCCCGACTCCCACCCCCTTAGCACCAGGCTCGACACCTTCTGTGTCCAGACAAGCAGGTATGTATGAAGAGTTTAGCCTCTGTTTGAGCTTGATAAGTGCTATGTCATGTCCAGGGTTGTATTGAGGGTGACACAGAGACTCCTTCACTTCCACCTCCACTCCCAAGGTGGAGTAAGTAGCACCTAGCCTCACCCATGTTGGCTTACCACTGCAAATAATCAATATGAAACTAAAGTCCATCAATATCTAAAATATTCGAAAAAGTAGCATATAAACAGTTAGAGTCATTTCTAGAAACAAACAATATTTTAAAGCCTGAACAACATGGCTTTCGAACAGGAAAGTCTGTATTAACAGCAGCGACTGATTTGATTGAGTCAGTTATTGATTCAGAAGATAATCATGAAAAAGCGATTGGAATTTTTATAGATTTGAGTAAAGCGTTTGACTCTGTTTCCCACCCAATTTTATTAGACAAGCTACATAGAATAGGTATTAAAGATAGAGCTTTGATTGGATAAAATCATATTTCACCAATAGGAAACAGTTTGTCCAAATCGTAAACCTTTCTAACAACTTCAAACATTATTACAACTCTCAACTTTTAGAAATTAAAAATGACATACCACAGGGATCAATACTCTCAACTTAGTTTTTAAACTGTTATTTGGCAGACATACCAACACCGACTGGCACGAGTAAATTAGTTCTATATGCTGATGATGCCACTTTAAAAATACCAGATAAAACTTATGAGAGACAGAACTATCAGTTAAGAATAATATGACTACTTTGACTAGTTACTTCACTCAGAATAATTTAGCAATAAATAAAGAAAAAACAATTTTCATCAATTTTAAAACCCCACAGGCTGCAAAATATCCATCTGATCTAAATATCGGAACAAATCAAGTAATTAGTAAAACAAACAAAACTAATTTTTTAGGTCTAACAATGGATCAAAATCTAAACTGGAACTCCCATGTACAAGAATTAATTGCTTAAATATCTTCAGGTGTCTTTGCCCTTAGCAGATTGCAGTATTTCTGTGAAACTTAAACCTTAAAACTAGTTTATTTTTCATATATACATTCAATAATATCTTATGGCATCTCCTTATATGGTTGTACAAGCTTAAATAATATGTATACAATTCTTAAATATAAAAAAAAGCGGTGAGGCGTATATTGAAACTTCTACGAAAAACACATGTAAAAGAATACCATATTTTATTTCACTTAAAATAATGACAGTCTATGGGATGTATATATATATATATCAAACTATCATCCACTTCAAGGAAAGGGAACATACTCTAAAACCATTAGGTAATAAATAATACAATAGGTAATAAACCACTCATGAGCAAAATACTAGAAAAAGGAACAATATTGCAATACCCATACATAATTTGGAACTATTTAAAAAGAAACCTACTTATGCTGGAGCATTATTTTTTTCCAAATTACCATAAACCTTAAGAAAAGGGCCGAATCCAAGAATATTAAAAAGGAAACTTAAAGATTTTATAACAACTAAAGCATTATATAATATACAAGAATTTCTTGACCCAGAGTTTAATTCAAAACCTTCTGGGACTTGAAGGGCTTTTGAATGTTTAGATTATTTTACCTAACCCGCCATGTTAAACTTCCCTATCCCAAGTGTGATGTATACAACTTCCTTGCTTCTCAAGTGATGTAAAGTTGAAAAAAACTCACTCGGTGAGGTAATGAAACCCATTTAAATAACATTGAGTGCTTAACTTAAAAAATATACCTCTATGGAGCCAACGACGTTCAACGCTAGAAATCAGCTGTGCGCTTGAATTTTATTGTTATGTTTTGAAGAATTTTCCTAACTTAGCTTTTGTTTGTAAATGAACGTTACTGTTAGAAGATGAGTGAAATGGATAGTGAAAAATATTGTTCGTAACCTCCTGTATATTGTCGGGTCAGGTAAAATCTTGTACGTTACACGTTACGCAAGAGCGTGTTTACATCACTTAGGTAAATTATGCAACTCGCTTCCGCTCGTTGCACAACATTCACCTGCGTGATGTAAAAACGCTCTTACTACACTTGTAAGGTAAATAGCTATTACTGCCTTCTTATTTTATTTATGATTGTTATTTGTTTTGTTGAGAATTTCTATTGTAATAGTAATAGTATAAATAACCTTCTTTTTATGCTAAAAAAATGGTAGAAATAAGTTAGAAGACAGTTTTAAGTTATAATAAAGAATCACTTTTTGACACTGTTCAATGTACTGTAAATATGTACTAAAAAAGAATACAGATTGTTTGAAATGAGATGAAATGAAAAGTAAAAATGAAATAAATCCTATACTCTAATACGAGCAATGTTTGCTTGTATGTGTATGTATGCTTGCTTGCTTGCACAAAGATCTCGAAAACGGCTCCGACGATTTTCTTCAAATGTTGTAAATAGTTTATTCCTGGCCTAAAAACGAGTTTACTGCAGTTCCCAGACAGCACACTTTATCCCAGGGACATCCCATAGTAGTCCCATATGTCCGGAGAATGTCTCGGGATATGTACGATAGCCTCATGATATCCCGCAAAATCCCAGGACGAGTACGAAATCCACAGCATATCCTACAATATACCGTAATGTCCCGGAATTTGTAAGTTAACCTCAGGATATCCTGTAAAGTCCCGGGATATGTACGAATGCCATAGGATATCCCAGAATGTCCCATGACATCCCGGGACATGTACAAAATCCACTGGATATCCTGTAATGTCCCGTAATGTCCCGCGGTAACAAACTGAAGAAAAAACTACTACCACTAATGAAATGTATATATAAATTTAAATGTTCAACGAGGCCTATATATAATAATTTGTTTTATTCACTAGCGCTTTCAGAAACTAGGTTTCCATCTTCAGGCTGTTTTTACACTAGTACAAAAAGTAAATATTTACTTAATAAATTAATTTTAAACAAAGTTAAAACAGATGATTTAAAGGATATCGGAAAAATAAAAAATAATATTAGAAAAATTAATCTTTTGAATTTTGGATATACAGTATTACAGTGTTGTTCTTGATGTAATTATTTTCAGTAATTCTGAGTTTATAATTGGGCCATCTTCATTATTTAACAAATAATTTTGGTCTGTTTTTTCTATTAAATAAGATTCCCACGCATTAAGATGTTGAGGTTTTATAATTTGTTTTAAAAGTTTAAGGTTTCCCAAATTGAAAATATGTCTTGTTAATATTGTGGCTAGCAAGGGCTGACTTTACTTTACTGACATGTTACTACCACTGAGTTAAGGAAAACTAGAGTTCTATCATAGTTGTGTGAAACGTGTATTTAATTCTAACTTTAAATTAATAAAATAATCTAAAACTAATTTTAATCATATAACAATCAATTATAACAGTGCTAATCTGATGGTAATTAAATAATCTATATTCAAATACCAGTATCCTCTCCAACTACCAGAAAAACAATTCAACTACTTGAGGCCTAAACAGATTAACAGAATCATATTATAACTGTAGTATCAAAAATATTTTAAGTACTTTGCGACCATTGCAACTGTCGGCTACTCTTTGTCCACTTGAAAACACTCATAATCATCAAGCGCGGATAGCTCAGGAGGTAAGGTATGAGGCTCATAAGGCGAAGGTACTAGGTTCGAGACCCGTCTGGGCCAAAAACTTTTTTCTAGTTTTTTTCTTCAAAATTTGTGTTTATTAACTATTTAATCAATTTAATCAACTGATAATTAAACTTTTCATACTAAATCTATATTATTTTGTGTTTTTTATGTTCAGGCCCAGACCACACTTTTATCCCAGCGTCATCCCATAGTAGTCCCATATGTCCTGAGGACTACCCTGGGATGACCTCGGATGTCCCACGGATATGCTGTGAGCTTATCCGTAGGACATCCCCGGGCGGGGACATTACGCATTCCTGCGGATATCCTGGGATATCCCAAGTTGACCATAGGACTACTATGGGATATCTTGCATATCCTGTCGCAATATCCGTGGGATGTCCTGAGGAGAAAGTGTGCTGTCTGGGTTAGAACTGCCAACAAAAATCTAATTACGTAGAAAAATGAAACTGAAACTCACATAATTTTTTAACATTAGTCTGATGGGTTGCTAAGTAACCCGGTGGGGCACACGGAAGATTTCTCAGGTACCGTTTGACGTCACTAACTGCTGACGTCACTAACTGCTGCGTCTGAAGAAACAGACAATTTTATAATTTTTCTATTATTAAATTAAACTGTCATAACCTAACCAAACTAACCAAACGTGCCGATAATGGAAAAATCGAATAAAGGTTTACTAATCTAAAAAATAGTTTTGTTCATAAAATGAAATTATAAATGCCTAAAATTGAATTTTATAATTTTTTAATTATAAAATTAAACTGTCATAACCTAACCAAACTAACCAAACTTGCTGATATGAAAAAATTGTTGTCAAAAAGTCAAATGCTACAAGCGGGATTCGAACCCGGTACAATAGGATTATCAGCCCGACACGCTATCCACTACACCACCGAGGCCGATGGCTCGTACCGTATCGTTGCGGTATTGGTGTTCCCTCAAAGTGACATCAGCAGTTAGTGACGTCAAACGGCACCTGAGAAATCTTCCGTGTGCCGTTTCGCTAAGTAACCATTTTGGCTGAATTAAATAACAAGAAAAAAGTAAACAAAAAAATTGTAAGTTGTCTGTCCACAGTATACTAGCAAATTAAAAATACAATACAAAAGGAAAAACATCAGTTTTATTACTATTGAGCAAAGATTGTACTGAAGATTACTCGATCCATTGTAGTCAAGGGTAGCAGTGTGGAGTGTGGGATCTGTTTATGACGATTAGATTACGGTATCTGCAATCCTTAAATGCTATGGGAAGGGAAGGAAACAGGTCCGCGACATAGGAAGTAATGAAGGAAGTAGTAAAGGCGAGCAGTCCGGAGTGTGGGAACTGTTTATGACGATTAGATTAAGATATATGCAATCCTAAAAAGCGATGGGAAGAGAGGAAAACAGGTCCGAGACGTAGGAAGTCGTGAAGGAAGTAGTCAAGGTGAGCAGTCCGGAGTGTGGGAACTGTTTATGACAATTATATTAAATTATCTGCAATCCTAAAATGCTATGTGAAGGGAGGGAAACAGGTCCGGAGTGTGGGAACTGTGAAGTAGTAAAGGTGAGCAGTCCGGAGTGTGGGGACTGTTTATGACGATTACATAAAGGTATCTACAATCCTAAAAAGCGATGGGAAGAGAGGAAAACAGGTCCGAGACGTAGGAAGTCGTGAAGGAAGTAGTCAAGGTGAGCAGTCCGGAGTGTGGGAACTGTTTATGACAATTATATTAAATTATCTGCAATCCTAAAATGCTATGGGATGGGAGGGAAACAGGTCCGCGACTTAGGAAGGGGTGAAGGAAGTAGAAAAGGCGAGCAGTGTGGGAACTGGAAACAGTTTGTAGCAGTTAGAATAATGTATATGCAATACTGAAATGCTATGAGAAGGGATGGAAACATGTCCACAACACAGGAAATGGTGAATTAGTAAAGGCTAGCAGTGCAGAGTGTGGGGAATGGATTCACGTACAGTAGAACCTCTTTAATCCGAACCCCTGTAATTCGAACGTCCACTAATCCAAACGCCTCATTGCTGTACTCTATACACAGAACAGTAGTTATTCATTGGATACTGTATTTATTGGTATACGCACCGCAATTGTTTCTATTGTAATGTACCGTACTGTTTATTCCCTATGTCTACTACTGTATTAAATAAACACTGTATTTTTCTTTTATAAAGCATTTTTCACTTTTCCCTAGCAATTGTTATGTAAAAACAACAATATGTTCTGTAATCCGAACTATTCAATAGTCCGAACTACCCCCGGTCCCAATTATTTTGGATTAAAGAGGTTCTACTGTATCTGCAATACTAAGACTGCTTTCGGAGTAAACTAATGATTATCCCCGAGCAAAGCTCGGTCCCCAGGTACTATAAGTTATTACTTGATGGTGGTAAGAGAAAAGGGCCCTCTGGTGGCTCTGAAGATGAAACCGAGCACGGAGTAGGTCTTGGAGCAGATACAAGATATGTGAGCGCCAGGATGAAGGTTAGATGTGAATTAAGGGGCCCATGTACGGTCAATATTATTGTGCAATATTATTGAATGTGTATGGGTTATATTGAAGGCGAAAATCAGATTGTATTGAGTGAATACAAAAAGATTTGAAAAATATTGCACAATCTTCAATATTGAATCGTGTATGGGTGGTATTGCGCAGTCTATTTTCAGTCTGCCAGTGCATCTTCTCGATATTGACGACTTTACTCAACCGTAGGTTGCACAATATTATTGAACTGAGTATGGTTGCTCTTCAATAAGATTGCGTAGTACATTGCTCAATAAATAAATATTGACCGTCTATAGGCCTAGCTAGCTACAAAGAGCCAGCTGAAGAGATGAAAAAGTTTAAAACAGTCTCAGATTCACATGAGTGGTGTAGGCATGATTCCCTGTACACATCACAAAATTAATGAAATTCACTTGTTTCATTATATAGGTTGAGTTCTATTTTGTACTCGTAGAGATTACGTTGACATGTTAGCTTAAGGTTCAACTACTAACCTTTACTTGAGTAATCACTGTAAAACTAAATGTGAGTAAATATTAATAAATATAAGAAACTCACTATTGAGGCTGCTTGACACAGTGGCCAGGGGCAATGAGGGTGTCTTCACTAATGAGGGTGGCATCACAAAGGTAGAGAACTTCTGTGTCTGTAGTATTGAAGCCCAACATAGCCTAACAATGATCACAAATGCAGTATAGACCTACAATCGTCAACTGAAACCTAGGATATTAAAAGCATGCCTTACCAAAAACTGCAGAGTAGGCAAAATCGCAGTTGGTTTATTTATTTTTGTATCAAAGCATATAGGGTGTCCCAAGTAAGTACAAAAGTATAAAATAGCCACCATTTTTAAATCCAAAAATGTTTGAATTATTGTTTTGCAAATAGTTTATTGATATTCAAAAACTACACCAAATTTCAGTTCATTTGGTTTTATTTTGACACATAAAACATATTCCTGAATTTTTGTACTTACTTACGGGTCACCTTGTGTATAATTCATTAACAGCATTTTTATTGACATTTTTTGGGTTTCATTTTATTTTTTTACATCAATACCAAAGCCTTCTTTCTTTTTATAGGGAAACAATACAAACATAGGTCATTAATCTTTAGTCCACAAATGAATAAAACAATACAGTTTATAATAATCTCTTATATTAATAGGTGAGGGTTGTTTTTTGTGAACACTACTCCTCTCGTATTTGTGGACCAATTTCAACGTTTAAGGTGTCAAAAGATTCGGCCCAATTCGTAGTTTTGCATTAAGGTTTTAGAATTTAAAAGTTTCTACCCTTAAGGGTGTGAGACCCTTTCAAAAGGTCGGGTTTTCACCATAAGAATTACATTGAACAAATTTAAAAACAAAAAAAGCTGTATATAAAAAGAAACTCACCAGCTTCTTGGGAGTAAATATTAATGTGTTTGTAATATTCAGGAGGTTATAGACTAATCCAAACAGTTAATCAGATTTGTTTGAAGAACAGAAAATTTCTCGAGTTTATAAAGAAGAAATATTGAAAAACAGGAGGAGGTTAAGAGGAAATCTTATACCGGTACGTATTAGAAGAGTAGGAGAGAGGCCTGGTCTAACAGTAAATCCAGATACACAGTCACTTAGAGCGAAGAATAATTTTTACCAGTTCTGCTATGCAACTTATTTTACAAATAAAAACATTATGAAGAATACAAATCATGTTGTCACAGTGGTAAAGAAAACCTACGGTACCTAATGTCAGATCAAATGAATACATGCAAGAAATGTTTACTGGTAACAGTTTTAAGTCGGGAAACATTTGTATAAAACACTAAAAAATAAGGCCTGCTTCTAAAAAATTATAAAATATTTATACAATAAGTGTTCATTATTTCAACCCGTTATTAATAGAGTAAGTATTTCAATTAGTTACATAAGACTCAATCTTTTAAACTTATCGAAATCGAAAATTATGACTGTTATTAGTGCAGTTTTAAATAACTCCTGTATAATAACGGTACTTGACGATTGCTTGATTTTGAGCACTCATAGAAGATGACTGTTATTTTTTTTTATAACTCCTGTATAATACCGGTACTTGACAATTGCTCGACTTCGAGCAACAGGCGCACTAGTCGATTTTAAATGGGCTACTTTTTAAAATTGTAATCTGTTTAAGTTAGGTTAATCACTCCTCAGAATGTGGATCTAAAAGCAACAAATTTAATTTATGTATGATACTGTAAAATTGCTAGTTTTGAAGGTACTGTCTGAAAAGGTATTACCCCCTTCGCAGCAAGCCTGCAGACTAAGCAATTTTTCATTTACCTGGCTGGATTTCTACTAAAATATTTTCCTTAAAAATTGTCAGATTTATTTCCTATTTAATTAACATTAATTTTAGTGAGTACTTAGGTTTGCTGCTACAGGGAAGTGTTAAGATGTGTTTTTTATTGCAATGACGATAGCTTAGTATTAAATAAACAAAATTTCCAAATTTGGTTAAAATATATCCATAAACAAGCAAACTATTAGAGTTTATTTATTCTCCATAAGAATAACATGGGAATTTTAAATTTACAATATTTTAATTATCTCCGTAACCATTGGGCATACAACAACGCTTCAATATACAAAAGTATTTATTTTTTAAGCTCTACGAAATGGTTTGCATAGAAATGATAAAATTTTGTGTTTTTAGGGTCAAAAATGGGAAAAATCTATTTTTACCCCATAAAACCCCGTTCACATAGTCCGATTATGCTGGTTCGCGAACTCGTTCGAATAAACGTAGGTTTATATGTATTTTCCCTAGTAGCACAAATATGTATTTTATAAATATTTTATATATTTAAAGTTGTATTTGATAGAACCTCGAATAAAATATATATATAATATATCTTTAATAATAGTTTGATATATTCAAATATATATTTAAAATATTACCAAAAAGCAATGCAAAATATAAATTAAATATAAGTTTTGAATATATAAAATAGATTCATAATATATATTGATAAAACAAGTATAGAATCTATAATATACATATTTTATATGTATATTTTTCCTATTAAATATTTAAAAAAATTATGTGTTGAGAATATTTTAAATATATATTTATAAAATATTTTTGAAACTATATTATATATTTAAATTATTTATAAATATATTTTGAAACACGTCAGATATTTTTATTAATAAAATAATATTATATTTGTGGAATATATAGCCTATAATCTTTTATAATTAGCAAATAAATAATTTGCATCTTTTTGTTTTTTTATAGTGTCTATCAATTTATACATGAATTTTTTGTATGATAATTGCTATTGTGAAAGCGTTAAAATTAAGTTAATAATAATACGTACTCTGAATGGTGTCACTCTATCATACACGTAAAGAAAAAAATAGCATATAGTTAAGAGGCAGTATACATGTTCGACAGCTACATTTGGGTCAAACGAAAAAAAGTGTTGATGGGTTTTATTTTTTTAATTGCAATATGTGACAATGAATGTGATCATAGAAATCTCGAATGATTAAAAAAGGGCTAAAAAGGGACTTTAATGATTTAAAGGGGGGGGGGGATTATTAAAGGGATTAGAAAAGGGTGCTAGTGACTGGCGACCTTTTAAGAAACGAATTACGGTTGTATATGACGTTCTAAAAATAATTATTTGATTTACATATGCCATAAATTACATAATAATTTGTTATAGTATTTAAATTAATTTTTCTAGTTTTTTAGTTTATTTGTATTCGTGGATACTACTCACTATTCACTACAGCACTATTCAACTCAACTACTTGATGCCAAAACAGATTAACAGAATCATATTATACTGTAGTATCAAAAATATTTCAAGTATTGCAACCATTGCAACTGAGGGCCACTCTTTCACCATTTGAAAACTAATGCTAACACCAGTCACAAGTAGCTCAGAGGTAAGGTAGGAGGCTCATAAGTCGAAGGACCCAGGTTCGAGACCTACCCGGGCTAAAAAAATTGTATCCAGTAATTTTTTCAAAATTTGTTTTTACGAACTATTTAATCAATTTACTCAACTGATAATTGTGTTTTTCATACTAAATCTTTATTATTTTGTGTTTTTATGTTTAGGCCCCATGGGATGTTTGGAAGAGATATTAAATACATTTTTATTTAAATATTATTCACTAAAATATATTATTGGAACATATTTTTTTAATATTTAATAGATTCAAAAACATATTTTTTATATATTTAATATATTTTAAATATTATATAAAATTGACATTAATACACACTTGAGATATATAAAATAGATTTTAAATATATTTATTCATATGTATTTAATATATATTTGTGCTACTAGGGTTATTTATTTACCAAATTTAATCAAAATTGGATCATTTTTGCTCGTGTTATCGCGGTAACGGGGATGTTGTGACCGTACTATTGAAATACACGCACATTGTAAATTATATCACTTTATTTTAACAACATAGATGTTTGTAGTGTAATGTTTTCAAAAGTAACAATAAGAAGTGTTTACTATTTAATATTTACCAACAGCTGACTTTAGAATAGAGTAATAGAATAAGATTATGACACTCTCCCTCACTTATTGAGAAGAACATAAACTATTTTTGAACGATAAAGTCTCGTAACCAAGGTGGCTGTCGTCGTTGTCTTTTTGGTCGTGGAGAGCGAACTGGAATGTTAACTTCTGTAGGTTGGTCTGGTTCTGGTTCAATATGGTCGGGTCTTTGATCAGGATAAGATGGAGTTTGGTTTGGAAGTCTTGGTACATCGAATGATTGCTTAGATAGATTAGCTTAGATTAGCTTAATGATTGCTTAGATTTTCAACATTGCTTCCCTTTAAAAAGCATTAAAGCAAATTGTAAAAATAATGTAAAATCAAAAAAGTGGATCACCCAAGGTATTATGGTGTCAAGTGCTAGAAAAAGAGAATTATGCAGGCTAGCTAAACATTCGAATGACCAGCATTTTATTCAATATGTTAAGAGGTATAAAAAGGTGTTCAAATCTGTTTGTAACTCAGCCAAGAAACTATCTCACAGTAATTACATTAAGAACTCTGTAGATAAAAGTAAAGCTGTATGGGCAGTTGTTAACTCAGAGCTAGGTGTCCTTAAAAATAAATCTAGTTTCAGTAATATTGAAGACAATAATTGCATAATTGGTAATGGCACAGAAATAGCTGAACACTTTAATAATAAATTTGCCAACATTGCGAAATTTAACTCTGCTCTCTTCAATGAATTAGATGCCCACAAATTTCTTAGCGATACTAATCTCAATAATCATTACATACCTCATTTCAACTTTCAGCCTGTTTCCAGAGAGAATGTTGCAAAAGTAATTTTTACTCTTAAAAACAAACTGTCAGCTGGTTGGGACGAAATTCCCGTTAAACTGATAAAGCAAACTGCCAACATTGTTTCTGGACCTTTAAGTCAGATAATAAACCAGTCTTTTGAAAGTGGAATTTTTCCTTATCAGTTAAAATATGCTGATGTGAAACCGCTTCATAAAAATGGCAGTAAAACAAACTCAGATAACTATCGCCCAATTTCCATCTTACCAGCCTTTTCTAAAGTTTTTGAAAAAATTATTACTGAGCAAATTTCTTTTTTCCTTGAAAGTAATAACATTTTTGTAAAAGAACAATATGGCTTTAGATCAGGA